ATATATATATATATACACACATACATACACATATACAGAGAATAACTGCCCCTTTGGATTTTTAAACCTTTAAATTGTTTAAAGGCTGCATGGTACTGGTGGGTTTGAACCACTGGCTTAATCAGATGCTTCTTAACTCTTTTGTGTTATCCTATAATGTGTGGGCCTGAATTCTTCTCCTATTTAAAACTAGGTGGGGTGGAAAGGGGGAACCAGTCACAAGGATCTACATATAACCTCCTCCCTGGGTGAAGGGAGATGTCGGACAGTGTAAGATATGACAAAATTTATAAATTATTAAGGGTTCATGAGGGAGGGGAATGGGGAGGGAGGGGGAAAATGAGGAGCTGATACCAAGGGCTCAAGTAGAAAGCAAATGTTCTGAAAATGATGATGGCAACAAAGATAACAAATGTGCTTGACACAATGGATGCATGTATGGATTGTGATTAAAGTTGTACAAGCCCCCAATAAAATGATTTTAAAAATAGGATGATACATTAATAAATTAGTATAACTTAATAACTGAAAATAGAGTAGAACAATCTATCTAAGAAACTAGAGCTGGTGCAGTCTATTCAATACAAATTTCTGAATCAGGGCCCCAAATAACTCCAGAAACAGGCCTAAAAACCAAGACACCAGGAAAAAAAATCATTTGTTGGTCTGTGCAATTTTTCCAATCAAAGATATTATTGATATAGTTAGTATTTAAACCTAGAAAACAATTCCCATGGAAATAGACAAATATATATTAATATATAATCTATAAAATATCATGCTACTTTATATATGTTTTGAAATATATGGGGGTATCCCCCCCAAACCAGAACTTTTTTTGTCAAACCTATGTATTTAAAATTTTTACAAAACAACCTTATCACCTTCAAAATATTCTCCATTACACTTAGTATATTTTTCAAATCTGAGATTCCATTTTTTGAAACATTTTTCAAATTCATTTGTTTGGATGGCTGATGGCACCTCCTTCATTTTTTTCTTGACCTCTTCTACATCATCAAGTCACTGTCCTTTCATGTCCCTCTTCATTTGAGGAAACAAAAAGAAACCACACAGAGCAAGATCAGGTGAGTAAGGTGTGTGAGGCAAGAGAGGCATGCTGTTTTTGCTAAAAACTGGCACACTGAGATGGCTGCCTGAGCAAGTGCATTGTTGTGGTGGCAAAACCAGTCTCCTGTCTGCCACAAATCAGGCCTTTTTGTCACATACTGTTATGCTATCTTTTCAGAACCTCTAAATCAGTGGTTCTCAACCTTCCTAATGCTGCAACCCTTTAATACAGTTCCTCATGTTGTGGTGACCCCCGAACCATAAAATAATTTTCATTGCTACTTCATAACTGTAATTTTGCTACTGTTATGAATCAGGCGACCCATGTGAAAGGGTTGTTTGACCCCACTAGGGTCGTGACCCACAGGTTGAGAACCACTACTTTAAATAGAAAGCTTTATTAACAGCCTGACCTGGTGGAATGAACTCCAAATGTACTACAAGTTAACGTTTCATCCATTCAGGAAACTGATGGATGTCCAGAACAAGGTTTTTCATCAATTGACACCACCTTTTTTGAAACGAGAAAACCACTCATACACTTGAATTTTTCCCATAGCCGCTGTCTTGTAAGATGTGTTCAACATCACAATGGTTTCTGCAGCATTTTTCTGATCAGGAAACAAAATTTCACAGCTGCATGCTTTTTTCTTAAATCAGCCATCACAAAAAAACAAGGTTCGAGCAAAGCTGCTTTTACGGAAAAGTTCACTGTGATCTTCCCATAGAAAACTTTCCCAGGTGATGCCACTGGGTGCACTAACTCAGAGTGAGTTGCTTGCCTAGTGGGAAAAATGCAGACTACAAAATCTCCGCTCCACCCATTGCTATTCTGGTTTTTGGGGGGTACCCCCTCATATGAAGAGGCTTCAAAGAGTTTGTTGGAAAATTCCATTAGTATTTAATTCCACTTTCCCACAAGCTTTTGGAAGCCCTCTTGGTATTTTAATTTGTTGATATAAACACATTTCCATTACCAATGTATACTCCTATGACATAATTTTGATAACCAGGCATCTTTTCACAGAATTGATACCTTATCATTTATTCTATGAGACTTTTTTTTTTTGCCCTTCAAACCCTGCTGAAAAATAATTTTATATTTCTAGCTTCTGGTTATATTCTTAGGATAGATTTCCAGAAGTAAGCTCTAGCAATAGCACCTGGCACAGGCGTAGTACACAGCTGGTACTTAATAAACATTTGTTGAATGAAAGGAAAATGAATGAAGGCTGGAGAGGAAATGGCTGGGTCACAGGGGATTTTCATACTTAAAGCTTATTTGAAAAATTGCTCTACACAAAAGTTGTAAACATTTACACTCTAAACAGCAGTATGGAAGATGGCTCATTTCTTTTGAAGTCAAATAGAGAGAGAGAAAGAAAGATTAATTCCTTAACCTTAGTTCCTTATTCTTTTCCTAAAACACTGCCTCCTTCCCCGGCCCTCACAATGGGGATTCTATCACTTGGCTTTTATGTATCTTCATTTAGCCACCACCATCTGTGGCCTAGGCTTACCTTCATCTCTGTGTCACGACTGAGGTAGACGACCACTGCAAACCATACTCTGTCTTTTTCATTTCCACACTCAGTGCTATGAAAGTATTAGCTTATACTTTATACCCTTGTCTACAGATGCATATACAGACCATAAACTCTTAAGATGCTCAAGAGGGATTTGGCTGGCTTGATCCCAGGGTAAATTGGTGCTAAACACAGGGAGCAAGGCTGAGCATGACTCCAGCACTTGTATGGGGTGAGACCAGGGGCTGAGGGAGCGATGCAAGGGGACGTGAAGAAGCAGTAAGAGGCCAGCTGTGTAGGACCATTCCCTCTACTGGATCCAGCCCTGGAATCAACTGACAAGACCACCTTAGGACCTGCTCTCTGTCTGCTCTGTCAAATTCTTTTACTGTGATTATACTTACAGGACCAAGTAATTTCAACTTGAACCTTTTTCAGGTAAACATAGAAAATAAAAACCGGAAATAAAGGTGTCTTCAAAAGAAGAGACATAATTGATCAGAATTCAACATGTACAAAAGCCAGGCACTGAGGAGGAAGTAGTTGAAGTCAGCGTCAGGAGGGTGGCACAGGCCTGCTGCCTGTGCCTTACACAATGCTTGATTTTGCAAACTGTGATGGGATGGCAGCTGTAGCATATGGATGAGAGAACTCCAACACTTTGTTTAATCTCATTGAAATCTGCTCATTTCTAAATCCAAGTTCAGTTTGGCAAAAGGAGCTATGGCTTAGTTTCTCAGTACACTGACCTAGCAGTTAAGGATCCTTGATGGTGCAGTGATTAAAACACTTAACCATTAATTGGGAAAGTCATGAGTTCAAACCCATCAGCTTCTCAAGGGAGAATGATACAGCAATCTGCTTAAAGATTTACAGCCTTGAAAATCTATGGGACTGTTAGACACTATCTCATAGGATCACTAGGAGTCAGAATTGACTTGGCAAGGATTGGCTTGATTTTTTGGAGGGTGGGGGAACCTAGCAGTTGATTATCCCAAAAACCCAAACTAACTAAAACCCATTATGATCCTGAGGTAGTGGAACAAGAGACGGACACATTTTTAATATTCCTATTATAAGAAATGAATTAATCAAAAGTAACACTTTGGAAATGTACTCCTTATCAGGTAGTGATATATGTATGTATTAGCTTATTAATTTTTCAAAGAACCTAAAGTGGTCAATTCTATTATTATGCCCATTTTCCAGATGAGGAAGCCATCGACTTAAGTCAGGGAGTGGCAGAGCCTGCACTCTGATGTACTGTGACTTTGCGGAAGCAGATTGCCAGGCTTGGGCTCCCATCTGCCAGCCAGTAGTCAAGCACTTAACCACTGGTGGCCCCCAGGAACGCCACATTTATCATTTACCACCTGGAGAAATGACCCCTCGTAGACAGGGAAGTGTAAGCAAGAAAGTGACCTCTGGAGGCCATGCTCCCCACTAAGGCACACAGATGCCACCTACCTCCAGGACTTGAAAGCGCTGGTAGATGTAGTGCACCATGGCTGGGTCTTGGGCACACCTTGGCGGAGGCAGAAAAGTAGCAAGGAACAAAACCAGGAAAGCAGAGGCTCCCCTAAAGGCCATCATCATCCTGAGAACCACCCGGGGGTGGACTCTGATATGCTGTCCTTCTCAAGAAAGAGCCGAGGGGCCCAAGTGGTGGCAGCTCCTCTCCGCTGCTGTAACAAACCCTCTCAAAACACTGTCTTACACAGGCGGGGTGTAATGTCCGCTTGTTATTCCACCAGCTGTATGAGCTCAGTTTGCAAGCTGGTGATCAAGTCCAGCTGTTCGCAAGAGTCCCTGGAGGCCTTGCAGGCAGATTTGGTGCAAAGAGCTTTCTGGGTCCAGCATGTTGCCACCACCCTGGAAACACACGTACCCTTCCCAGTCTACAGTTTGCACTCTTCTTCCGTGCGTGTGTGTTTGTGTGTGTGTGTGTGTTAGGGGGTGGGGGGTGGGGGGTGGGAGAGGGCCACCCCCCTTCCTCCCCCAACCATTTCTTTTTGATTTTTGTTTTCCTCCTCCCTAGTAGATTCTGCCATCCAATCACAGGCCTGACCCAACACACACCACCCCTAACTTTTCAGAGTTGGAATCTCAGTTTAGTTTCTGGCAACATTTCCCAAGAATCCTTTTCCCAGAATTCCTGTTGGGAGACCCACCCCTCCTCCAGACTTTCTTTGCATTCTTGCAGCTCTTAAAGGCATAGCGTGGAAAACAAACACTGCACTGCTCTGCTCCTCTTTCTGAATGGCGAGTGTGCAGAGCGCGATTGCTCTTGGGGAGAGCGCGCCCTGGGCCACAGTCTGACAGCTGAGACATCTCAGGATGGAGCACAGTTTAGTCAGTTACTGATAAGAGTCATGCTTCCAGGGCCAAGCCATCCAGCTAGGAAACTCTTGTAAGAAAGTCCCTTGGGCTTCATGTACGGCTGCAGGTCAGAGGTGTTACGGAGTCGTGCCCAACAAGAACCACTGACCACAAATCTGTAAAAGCTAAGAGTAAGTTTATTAGAGAAAAGACAAAGGTTAGAGAAGAGCAAATTTAACAGGTAAAAGAGAAAGACAGAAACAGACAAGTTCGAACTCGGACTACAGCCTGACCACGCAGGATCAAGACTGCAGTGCCAGGCAAAACTTTCTCCTTCTCTTTATACACTTCAAACCAGCAAAGCGAGGGCGGTAGAGCATGGGGTGGTGAAGGACGTTTGCACAAGATACCAAGATGCGGGCAGTCTGCAAGGTCACAGTTGTTTACTTTTACAACTTATTTCTCGTCTGCTAGAGATAACATAGTTTTACTTTTACGGCTTATTTTTCTAAAAACATTCTCTTCTTAGAGCCGGTCCGGCCTATAATCTTTTTCGGCCACAGATGTTCCTCTGGTGACAGTTTAACCACTTATGTGCACAATTATCTTGCCCAGTCATTCTGACCTGCAAAACTCAGTGGAAAGAGAACTAAAATGGCTGTAAGGGGAAATGGAGTTAGATAGGGATAAAAGAAATTTAAGTCTAACAACATATACTGTAACAAGAGGGCCTGGCTGGTGCAAATGTTAATATATTCAGCTGCTAAACAAAGTCTGGTGGTTCAAGTCCACCCAGCACTGCCTCAACGGGAAGTCCTGCTAACCCTCGTCTGAAAAACCCAGCCATTGAAAACCGTATGGACTTCAGTTATCCCTGACACACAGGGAGTCCACATGACTTTGCATTGACTTGAAGGCAAGTGGTTTTATAGTTTCAGGACAGAAATAACTCAGAACCAACCGCTCACTTACCATGAAGGTGAATCTTATTCCTTGGGCAAAAGTGGTAAAAGAGTCCAATTTTGCCAGTTCAGGGCGCTGTCTGGTGGCACAGTGGGGTAAGCATTGGGCCGGTGATGGAAAGCTCACCATTTCAAACCTACGAGACTCTAAAGAACACTACCTTGGAAACACTGTGGGGCAGTTTCCCTCTGACCCACAGTGGGTCCCACGGTGTGGGTCCAGCTCTCTGCTTATCTTAATCTCTTCTTTCACGGTTCTTTTTCAATCACCGACCTAAGTGGGGAAAGTTTGAGGTAACTATGGGAATTTGCATTTGGCCCCTGGAAGAGACACTAAAAGACACATTGTTTTCCCCAAGCCCTTGTCCCCAGGATCTGTGCTTCTCCACGTCTTTCTCACATGACTTTACCCCTTAACTTTCCAAACCCTCTCAAAACTCACTGCCATTGAGTGCATTCCAACTCAGAGTGGCCCTGAAGGGCAGGGTGCAACCCCCCTTGTTTCTGTGGCTGTACAGGAGCGAAACCTTGGAGCAGCGGGTGGGTTGGAACCACTGACTTTGTGGTTAGCAGCCCAAGGCATCACCATGTGCCACCACTGCTCCGGAACGGTTTCCACCCTCTTGTCATTTGCCCCAATAATAGGGACAATTGAACCACAGACCCGGGCTCTTTCTCTAAGTTAGACTGCTCTTCCAGAAATTTCCCATGTTTTGCATTTTCAAATCAAGTCTTCGGCTGCAGGTGCTCCAATTTTTTTCTATAAGCACCTTGAGCTCTAGCTTTAAAACTCTGAAACAAGATGATAAGGTTTCCTGAAAGAAAACTCAGATTAGATCACAATTAACTTTTGAGTTGCAGCCAAGTTGATTATTTATATATGCAAACATTAATTTCACAAGGACATTTTTATCCCGTATTAATGAAGTCTGAAGGAAAACTGGAGTCTGTCTGAGGGAATGTGATAGGAGGCCTTGGTTCCAGGACCAATCTTCAGCTTGCTTCAGGAATGGATTCTGTTCCAAAGCGCTTGTCTTTAGAAGCCTTCAGTCGGACCTTGCAGGCACCCCTCTGTGCCTACCAATGGCTCAGGGCCTCACACTCCCTCTGCAGCCACCAGCTTCGAAGGACAAACCCAGTGCCACTAGATCTCCCACAAAGCTCACAAATCCCACAGTTGGCAACCCTGGCTCCTTAGGAGAGATGAGGCATGGGGCAGGCCTGTGCTGAAACTCCTCATGTTCTTGTGATAAGAAGTTTTATACAAAGGAAGATACTCACAGTTTTAACTGACCCACAGTAACTGCTTTATTCAGAGCAGGCCAGACTCCCTGGGCTCTACAGTGATGAAGTTAAGAAAGAGGATTTGACCACCTTAGTCTGCTCTTGGGTGAAAACAATTTGCTTGGCTCGGTGACCCTTTTTACATTTAACTTCTGGCATTGACCCCTGCGTCTGCTAGTGAGAACGGTGAGCAAGCTCAGCGACTCTTGCCTTTTCTTTTGCAAGTACCCGGGCCTTCTGCTTTCCTGCCTCGGGATCCTGAGAGGGGAAACCTGCTGATTCCTCAGGGTGCTTGGATCCACTGACCTGGACCTGCAAGACGTGCATTGATTGGTCTCACTGACCAATGGCTGGCCCAATTAGCCCACTCAGGCTAATCTCATCACCAGGTCTCCATGTTCCTTTTGAAATTTGAGAGCCTTCTCTATACCCAGCCCCCTCCAACTCTACTAAGTAGGGATCAACAATTTAAACTGATGACAAGACTGTCTTTCTGGGGAGACAGAGCCCAGCTCCCCAAAGAACCCCTTATCTGGGATACTCGAATCCATGACTTATACTGAAACAGAATTTCTCTCCATCCTCTTTTTTTCTGTCTCGTTTCCCCAACCATTCCCCCTTTATCTCTCATTCTCCATCCTGCCCCTGCCTAATTGCTATTAGTCTTAAAGTCATCCTCAAATCTTCCACCCTTTTACAAGTAATTGCATTGTTTCCTACATGAGTGATTGGAGCAGCCTCTAATTCCCTATCTATGTCTCTTTAGATAAAGCCAATGCTGATTTCATGCCAAAACAAAAGCTCTTTATAATCAGACCTCAGCTAACCTCTTGCTGCATTTCTTACCATTTCCCACATTCAACCTCCACAGAAGCCACATCTGATTATTCCTAAACTCTCCATGCCTTCAGCATCATAATGTCTTTTCTATGTAGTTCCCCCCCTGCCCCACCCCACCCCCAGCTAGAGATTTTCTCCTATTGGTAACTAGTGAGTTCTTACTCACTAGTTGTACTCCTTCTTGTCTCATACCACCTCCTTACCCCCACCCCAAACAGAACAACTTTCTCCCTTGTCGTTTTCCATAACACATCAGGCCCAAATCTTGGAAATTGGCAAAGACAGAGCTGGACATTGGTAGTCTGGTGGAGAGGTGGGGGTGCTCTGTGGGGCGGTGGTGTGCACCCCTGCTGCCGAAGGAGGCAGCAGGGGCACAACATTGAGGGTTGTTCCAATGAAGGTTTCTGGGATATCTTTGGCCAGAAATAAATTGATAAGGGAATCTTCCTGGGTGATAGACTGATGATTTCCAGGCCCAAGTCTTGAGCAGTCAAACCTTTATTTCTACTGGCTTATTAGAGACATTTCCCACCACTCATCTGTCCGTTTGTCATACTGCGTGGGCTTGCATGTTGCTGTAACACTGAAAGCTATGCACCAGTAGTTTAAATACCGTCACCCATGATGTACAAGTGTCACCGGAGCTTCAGACTACAAACAGACTAGGCAGAAGGAATCGGTTACTCCTAGGCAGAGGGACCAGGAGGATAAAATACGGCACTTCGAGGAGAAAGATGCACCTGCTCCAAGCATGGCAGTTTCAATGGCCTCACATGCACGTGAAAGCTGGACCCTGAATCAGGAAGCCTAGAGAAGAGCCGAGGCCTTTGAAATGTGGCGTTGGCAACCAGGATCAAAAGCACCGCAGACTTCCCGAAGAGCAGACACATCTGCCTTGGGAAACATACAGCCAGAAGGGTCCTTAGAGGCAAGGAGGGCCAGACTGGGTCTCACACACTCTGAACAAGTTATTAAGAGAGATTAGTCAAAAGAGAGAGATGAGTCTTTGTGGGGG